GGCTGCGCCTCCCCGGGCACGGTAAAGCGGAGACCAACGTTATACCCCGCCTGTGCCTGTTTGCCGCAGCCTGGGAAGGCCGAACACCAGCGCACCCTCCCCCAGATAACACGGAGACAAAATACACAAGTGGTTTTGGTTTTGGGGGTTGTTTGGACTTTATTTTTTTTTTTATTTTAGCCTCAGACTGGTCGGGGAAAGCTGGAGCTTGATTCTGAGCCAGACTTTTAAGCCCAAGGCCCAGTGAGGATGAAAGCGGTCGGTCACGGTCACTGGGCCGCCCGACGGGCTCTGCGGGGCACCGGCCGGGGCAGGCACAGCCGGGGGATTTGCTTTCCGAGGGATTCGCACCCGCACCCGCAGGTTTATAGCGGCCCAGCCCTCGGAGCGCTGGCGGTCAGGGACCGGCGGGCTCAAAGCCCGGCACCCGGAGAGCTCGCACGCTGCCCACCCCTGTTCTGTAGGCAATAGCTGGAGCGTCTCTGGGCCCAACAGTACCACTGTGTGCTCTGCTCCGTGCGCAGGGCCTGTAATTAACGCTCTTACACACTTGTGTCTAAATTAGTAGCAAGGACACATTGCCAAACATTGCAAGTTCAGGCCAATAAAACATAGCCTCTAAAAAAAAACCCACCCCTTTGAGTACGTTACAGAGGGAAAGGGAAATGTGCCCTGAGCACTTACGTTTTATTTCGATTTGCATTTTATAGAATATTATTTATAGACATGTGAAAAGGAGGCACGGTCTGATCGCTGGAGATCGTCATCTGCTCTCGGGAAGGTAGCGAGCAGCAGGTTGGGTTTTCTGGGGGCTGGGGGGGGAATTTCGCGACCGCTTTCTCGCAGCGTGCGGGTTGCAGTGTGTGTGGGGAGGAGGCGTTCAGAGAGTAGCACTTTTTCCTCTCCAGTCCAAGTTCAGCCAGGATTCTGTCCCGTGGTCCTACCTTATGCTGGGATGTGGCTGAATCGCTAAGGCTACAGGCTCTGGTCAAACTGCTTCTTGCAGAGCTGGTCTCCAAACCTCAGCGCACAGCACCTGAGAGCAGTTTTGGTGCTGCTTTTACAGCAGCATGGCTTCGGGATGGGGCAGAGCGGCCTGCTGGCAGGCTGAGGTGTGAAATCAAGTTGGCTTGGACAGCTGTGAGCATTTTTTTCAGTGTTGTGCTTTTCTAGCCAGCCCAAGCACGCTACCCTTCCACACAGCATCCGAGAGGGGCAGCCCTGCGGCCAGGCAGCCACTTCCACGCTCGGCTCGGCTGCAGCCAGCCCCGGGTGTGTGCAGAGCAGCGCTCCGTGACAGCTTTGAGCTGCTCCTCTCTTATCTCGCACCAAAGCCACAGCCACGTTCACAAACCAGGTGCTCCCCCGCCTTTCTCCTCCATGGAGCCTGCGTGGGAAGGCAGGCGCTGCCGATCGCCCGCAAAACGGCTGGAGGGGAGGGAGGAACCTTCCCTCCCCTTCTCCTTCCAGCGGCTGATGGCTGAAGGACTCACCTGGGATGAGAAAGAGGGTTCAGATCAAATCCCCTCCCTATCTGCACCTCCAAGAGCATGCCCTTGCCACTAGTTAGCTGGAAGGGATTAACTCAAGTATTTTTTCCTGGGGAGATGCTGCAGGGCCTGGAACACCAGCCCTGAGAAGTTAAGAATGCCTCATCATAATAAATATATATAAAACACAAACCCCTATGCATGCATAGCGAATCTACAATCGTATGAATGTGTGTGTCTGTGTATATATGCATATCTAAAACCAGCAAGCGTGTTTATCATACTCATCTCACACATTTTCTCGTTCTGAGTGGATTAAAAATTCAGTCAATGTGACCAAAAAAAAAGTCACTGCATCCAGATCACATGCCAGTGGCAAAGCAGAAAGTCGCAATGCCCCTGCTTTTAACAAGGGAAAATAGGGATCTTGGGAGTAAACAGGACGGATGAAGAGCCACTTCCAGCTGGCCAAGGCTTTGGGCTCGGTGCACCAGCCAAGCGCTTTGGGCTAGAACTGCTCTTTCTAGAGATTTTCATCTCACGAGGGGTGTTAAAAGTCTGAGAAAGGCACAGTCACAGTGTTTCTATCCTTATCCTCCTGCGTAACTACTGACAGAGCTTGGCGTGGGCCATGGAGGTCTCGAGGACAGAGGTTTCACATCTCTCCTTGGAGACCAAAACTCATTTCTCTCTGTCTCAGATATGCCAAGGCCAGATGAGCTGGGCTCTGTAAGAGAATGGCACCAGCCTCGGCACAGCTGCGAGAGCCCCAGAACAGCATTGTGGTCCTCAAAGCCTCCGCTGGTGTGGATTCCCATCTCTAACCCAGGCTTCCCACAAGAAAAGTCATGGGGGGGCTCCAGCATCCGAGGGAGCTGCGTAACGTCCCCACCACGCTGACCCAAGTCTCCCTTCCCCCAGCAGAAGAAAGCCTGAATTTCTCACTCCCTTTATCCTCTTGGAAGGAGAAAAATACACAGAGAAATCAAGCCGAGGGATGTTGTGGCTCCTAGCTTGGGAGTTTTCAGCTGTGTGTTTATCAGCCCCATCCCCTGATGGTATCAGCACGAACAGGCCACCCACAAGAAGGCTTAGCTGGCTGGTCTGGACTCCAGCTTTTCCTCTCCGTCTCCGTGTGTGTGTATATACACCACCGACTGTCTCAGGGACCGGCCGTCTGGGGCCTGCATCCATTTATTTACTACACAGCTGATGTAATGGCTAAACATTTTTTTTCTGTGTTTATGGGGTGTGTTTTTTTAATCTGCCAGAGATGAATAGACCCCTAGAGAAGTCAGCTTAGTCGTGTCCCTTCTTGGATAGGAAACAACAAATTTTAGGACAGGAAATGGGAACAACTTAAACAAATGGGTTCAGGATTTTTATATTTAAGTTCCCCAGCTCTCTTCCCTGGCAGATCCAAGCAATGCTTTTCCCTCTGATTTTAATTCCTTCGGCAGGGGATGGCCCGGGCTATAGGGCAAACTCTACAAGCGTCAAGGATAGCGCTCTAACCACCCTCTTTCTTCCTCCCTCCCCACCAGGCACGTCAGACCTGAGCCCCTTCTCTGACCCCCGGCAGTTCGATCGCTCCTTCCCAACGCTGCCGGCTCTCACCGAGACCAGGTTCTCCGACCCGCGGATGCATTACCCCGGCGCCATGTCCGCTGCCTTCCCTTATACCGCGACACCCTCCGCCACAGGCATCGGGGGCATCAGCATGACCAGCATGCCCACCACGACGCGCTTCCACCACACTTACCTGCCACCCCCCTACCCCGGCTCCACACAAAACCAAAGTGGACCCTTCCAGGCCAACCCCTCTCCCTACCATTTGTACTATGGCACGTCCTCGGGCTCCTACCAGTTCTCCATGGTGGCGGGCGGCGAGCGCTCCCCCACCCGGATGCTCTCTTCTTGTACAAGTGCCTCAGCAGGGAACAACTTAATGAATCCCAACCTGGGCAATCAGAACGACGGGGTGGATGCGGATGGGAGCCACAGTAACTCGCCGACGACCATGACAACTACTGGGAGGATGGATGAGTCGGTCTGGAGACCCTACTAGGAGGAACTCAACTGGGCACCGGTATCTTTAACTTAATCAGCCACCGTTACGCTACTCCTTTTGGTAGTGTATAAAGCAAAATGATGCCTAGGGAAAAGGTAAACCAAAGTCTCCCAAACCAAAAGCAAACCAGGATCCTCTGCATGCAAGCACGGGCAAACATCAAGTGAAGATGGACGGGGACCTACGTTACATTTCAAGATGAACATCCACGAGGCTTGAATTTGTCGCTTGATGTGGTTCCTTTCGTATCTTTTAAGCATGTGGATTGTACATAGGGAAAAAACCAAAAGGACGTATGGAATCAGAAGTTTGTTTCTTGCAGAACACTTCTCAGTCATCTCACTCGCACCTCTTCCCCACACAAAGCATTCAGAAGTTACAAAAAGCTCACCCTTCTTCTGCAAAATGTTCCAGAGAAGAGAAAAGACCAGGGAGTTGTCCAAGCCATCTCTCTGCCAGTGCAGAAAGACTGAACTGAAAAAAAAAAAAAAAAAGAGGAAAAAAAAACAAGAAAAAATAACCCTCGTTGTCTCCTCTCCTTCCCTCCCAGCCAGTGTAGGGCCCCTGACCACCAAAGAGCTCCGGGACGACGCGCGGCACGTGAGAGTCTGGTTTACAGCACAACCGCGGGGACTCGGGCACGTGCGGGGGCTGCGTGCTCCTCGCGGGTCGGCCGGCATCAGCCATGTGAACAAGAGCTGTGATGTGATTATTATTATTTGTTGTTGACGACAGAGGTTGTATTGTTCATTTTTGTTGTTGTCGTCATTTTTAAACCAGTAACGTGGCTGATCCCGTGCCTGACAGACCCCCTCTTTCCTGTATGTTTACATGAGATGTACTTTTTACGAGACGTGTTTTGTTTTGTTTTGTTTGCTCTTTTGTCCTGACCTCACCATTCAATTCTTTGCTCCTCTTAGCAAATCTCAGTGATGGTGGCTGAAATGAAGGCGGCGTTCAGGACAATCCAAGATGCATGAGATGCACTTCCAAGCGCATTAGCTGCAACAGGGACTTGGGAACCTTTGGCATTACCCTGCCACCGGTCTCTGGGTCTTCCTTTCATCCTCTCTGAGTGGCGACACGTGCAGCTGGTGGCAAAGCATGGTATTTCTGTTATGATTCTTTCCTGTGTTTTCACCCAGACACGTGATGACTTTTTTGATTCAGAAATGACACACACTTGTCGGTTCATACTGAAAGCTCTAACTGAGATTTGGAGAAAGGAGCAATTTCTACTCAGTCCCTCGGTGGTGGGAATATTGCAAAGCAATGTTATCTGGCCTTTTCCATCCCCTCACCCCTCCTGGCGTTCCCCCAAGCGTCCCCAGGCTTGCTGTAGATGCATAAGCCAAAGAAGGGGCACTAAAGGTACCGCCAGCCTGTCGGTATCTGGTTGCATCACGCACTGTTTGGAGGAACCAGGTCTCCCAGGCACCACACACCCTCGTAGCTGATACCAAAGAGATTGCAACCTGAACGAGACCGTGACAGGAGGCCATAGGCAGCGGGAGAGGCAGCAGGAGCCCCCACAAGGCTGGGTTAGTGGCCCGGCTCATGCCGCAGGGTTACGTTGCCTCCCACAAGCCGGCTGTGCTTTCTGCTGGCGTGGGAATTCAGGCTGGATTCGGGATTCCTCGTGCTGGCAGAGCTGAGGATGCATGGGCAGGTTCTCAGGGAGCACACAACTGTGGTACCTGCTGCTCTCTAGAGCCTACCCTGCAGCAAGGGGATGCAGCCAGCCCCCAGTGCCACCAGTAACCAAGTTGTTTTGTTTTGGTTTTTTTTAACATAAGAAATTTCAAACCCCACAGCTGCCCTCCCGGCCCCTCTGTCTCAGTTACACCCTTACAGTCGTGCCGCCTCTCACCAAATCTCAGTTGGCAGCTCGTCAGCACTCGGTTGAGGTACAGAGCGTTGTAATTGCACTACCACGTCAAGACTGGAGCAAGACATCCTGGCTTAGTTGGAAAGCTGCGATGACCACTCACGAGTTAAATAAGCAACAAGAAGAACAACTTTTAAACAATAATAATAATAATAATAATAAAAAAAAAAACCTACCCCAGCAAAACTGCAACCTTCACTTGCCTTAGCGACAGCGAGCACCCCTCTGGTGCTTGCCAGCTGTAGAAACTGGACCACGGCAGCCTGTGTTTTGATGCATTTATCATCCGATTGCGCCACTGATTGAAAGCACAAAGAAAACAAGGCATTCGTAGTACTAGGGTTAATTTAAGACTGTTCGTAGTGAATTTAAAAAAATAAAATAATAAAAAGAATGGCAACAATGTTGTTTTTATGACATATTGTCATGTGAAGGTGTAAATATATGCACCTCTGTTGTATGCAAATGGTCACAAGACAGGCCAATGTTTTTTGCTTTGCACTATAATTTGCTTTTTTTAAAAAAATGCACAATTGCTTGTACAGTAAAACCCCTTTGTCTGGCTCACAGAATATTTAACTATAAAATCTAATTTTTGGTCTTATTTGTTATAATAATATAATTCTTAAATGTGTTGAAGGATCCAATTCTTAATAATGCTTCTAATACTTGTATGTGCAGGGTAAAATAACAACAAACAACTAAGGAGATGAGAACAAAGATCTTTGTAGATAAAGAAGGCTAAAGTTGTTGGGTTTTTTAATGGTGTCTTACGATGGACATTAAAAAAAAAATGCTAGTGATACCAAATAATGTGGTTATTTGTAATATACCAGCCCTACTTGAAGGTAATGCCCTATATTTAATATGTAGCCCATCTTTTTAACCTGTAGCACTTGTCACTGGGGAGGGGGGGAGGCAGGGAGGGAGGGAGAGGAAGAGGAGGGTCTGCTCCTGTTGAAGTCATTGGAAGAAGCTCTTGCTGGAGGAGTCTCTGCTGCGCTGGCATCAGTGAGAACAGAGCCGGGCTCCTCCGTGAGCGGGTGGAAATCGCGTTGGTACGAAGCCATAGCAAAGTGGTCAGCTCTGCTTTTCTATTATCGGTGTCAATGTTCTTATCCAATGTACGTGATTATATCGTCAGGCCTCCGTGTAATCATTTTAATGACTTTCCATGTGGAATAATAAACGTACGGTTACAAGTCTCCCCGGTGCCTTCCGCCTGCTCACTTCTCACTGGGGGGAGCAGATCTGTGCCCCGGTACAGAGGAAGGTTCATCACGCTGCTCTTTCTCCAGGGTCTGATTTTGGCACCTCTCTGAGCACCCCAGTGTCTGGATCTGGGGTCTGACAGAGGCCTCGTGGCTGCTTTTAACCTCAGTTTGGCCCGAGCAGGCATTGTAAGGTGTCCAGGGGCCTTCACGGGGATGCAGGGAGGTGATGGATGGGTGGGGGGACCCCCTGGGCTGTGAGCTCTGAGAAAACCCCTTTAGGCGTCTCCAAGGTGGGTCTGGACCACTCACACTGCACCGAGCTAGACCTGGCAGGTGACCCCCTGCATCTCCAGCCAAGCACCCCACACCCCAACTGCCTCCTGTCATCGCCGCGCCGCTTCCCGAGACACCAAAGCTCCGGCGCAAATCTTAAACAGGATCCAAATTCCCAGGCGGTCCAAACCCAAACCCCTTAGCACTCACCACTCGCCTCCAGAACCCAAATGACAGCTGAAAAGCAAAAATTAAAAAAAAAAAATCCCAGCCTACAATAGCGCTGTAGGCTGGGGGCTCCCGAGGAGCCAAGCCACTCAACGCAGGCGTTATTCATGAGCGGAGGCCCCAGGCGGGGCGATGCCAGCGCCTTGCCCATCGAGCAGGGCAGACGTGCTGGGGTTGAGGCTCTGCCCCTTCTTTGCAGCATCTCCATAAGCGTAGCCCTTAGCGGCGTTTGTACAGAAAGAGAAAAAAAAGAAAGGGGAAAAAAAAAAAAAAAGAAAAGAAAAGGAAAAGCGCGAACAAAACCACAATAAATGCTAATATGGGTGAGAACCGGGCTCTGCAGCCCTGGCCAGCGGGAATATGTTTCAAGTCAAACCCTAGACATGCCCGCCTTTTCTTCACAGCTACTGGGAGAGGAAACACCCCGAGGTGTAGCTATTATTTACAGGAACTTTCCATTCCAAATTGATCCGCGCTTTACTCGCAGCCTCGCTTAAAGCCTCAATGAAAAGACAGAAGAAGAAGGAGAAAAGGAAAAAGAACAAGAGGACAAATAAAAAGGGCTTTGTTGAACCGACGTGTGCTGTGTCACCCGTGGAAAAGGGGCTTTCGAGGGGTGCAGCCCCTCAACAAAGCGGTTTTGGTGCTGATGCCGATGGGGTGATGCCCACTGGGGAGCGAGGCTGTGGCTGGATCAGGCGATGCTGGACCAAACCCATGCTGGGGGGACACAGCAGCAGCTAAAATGTAGCTGGGAGGCCCAGGTAGCTCAGCGAGCTGATGGTGTTAAATGTACCCAACACCTGAGGGCCAGATGGGTGTTATGTTTATGTGGGCGTTATTTTTATATGGGCCACCTACCAAGCACAGGATCCAGCGTTCTGTGAATGCTGGGGCTGCATCTTGCTTATACGCACGTTCTGCGCTAATTTAACGGGAAAGCTGGACCCCAGCATGGCAGCGTGGGATGTGGGGGGCGTCAGCCTCTCCCAAAGGCCCTTCAAGAGCCGAGAGCCGTCGCAGATGCCCGTCCTGAGTCCCAGAGAGTATCCAAGAGCTGCCACTGTGACAGGGGATGCTGAAAAATAGGGCTGAAAGCAATAGTGTGGGGCAGTCAGAGCAGAAAGGGGAGGTTTTTCTTTTGCAAAATGAAAACTGAAAGGGGGAAAAAAAATCACTGGAGCTTGGATGACATTTTTTTTGAGCATTCAGATATTAAATTGAGTGAGGTTTGGGCTAAAAAAATCTCCTAGGAAAAGTGAAGAATATTTCCTTTGAGAACAGAGCTAACAAAAGTGTCAGCAAAAATCTTATTATATTCTCTTTCCAGACCGAACTCTAAACCCCAGCGTCTATTTTAATGTCTGTGTGTGTCCAAACTGTCTGTCTTTGTAAATAAACTTTCAACTTGCAGAAAGTTTCTAGGCTACGCAGGACACAGAGGAAGGAGTCGCCACAGGCTCTCACCTTGCCCACACCACCCTTTTCCCTCGTCAAGCCCTTAACGAATTTTGCATCATTAAGTCACAATCCCGTTCCTCTGAAATAGTCCTGTGAGGTGCCTAGCACCCTTTCTGCACCCCCAGGGACCCCCCCCCAAAAAAAAAACCTGCAAACATCAACCCCCCGCATCTGCCCGTCGCCTGGATCGGTGTGAAACGGAGTCACCAGCTCCCGCTTTTGGCATCATCTCCATGAGCATCCATGGGGGGTTAATCCTGCTGCAGGGCCATCCCGCTGGAAAGGATGGGTGGTTTGTTGAGGTTGGGGTTTGGTTGGTTTTTTTTTTTTTTATTTTTGAATGCTGCCTATTTAGAAGCTAAATGGTGGAAAACATGGAAAATTCATTAGGGTGTCTGGGAAAGTGTTAGGTTACACGT